GACACATCCTTCTAGGTCAAAAGTTCCATGGAAGTTGGTTGACTTTTGCAGACAAATTTCACATTCATCTGATGACTTGTAACTTGTCTGGATCATAACTTGAGTTCTATAAATACAATGGAGGACTTCTAGTACTCAAATTAAAACTAAGAGCATGCTCTACAAGTTTCATGTTGGCCAAAAGTGGAGATGAAACTTGCATCTTGAGATAAGTGGTCTTGAAGTCAGGCACTAAATAGGGAATTTTACCCTAAGAACCCTAGTTTAGCAACTCCTCACACTTTAAATTCTTCTTGGATTGATCTTGGAATATCACTTCATGTATCTCAACACAACTTTCCATGATCACAAAGACTTAGAAATAGGTTTTTCTCCTCTCCAATTGCACAATTGACTTAAGGTTACTCAGATGAAAACCCTAATTGCAACACCCTCAACTGTGGCTCTTCACACTTAGCATAATGACTTGATTGAGCTCCACCATGACCCTCAAGGCACTCCATGAGCTCTATCCATGATCAAGGCTCCACAACCCACTGATAGTCTTCAATTGGTCCTCAGGTTAGGAGATCAATCATATACAAACAACCAAACTTCTCAAGAACCCAACCCTCTTCCTGATGACTTTGGTGACTTCTCAAGCTTGAATAAGACCTCTAGATAGGCTCCTCTTGATATAAACCACACTTGATCCCATGCTATATAAACAATGCTATGCTATGCAAATACTAGAACAATGATATGCTAATGCAATGAAACAAAAGCCAAGTAAGAAGAGGTTAGGCAAATTTTGGGGTGCAACACACTGGGCGTGCCAATTTGTTCACCGTGAAAATTGGTGAACAACCGTTGGTCTTACAAATCAAAAAATATTTATTTTACTTGCAGGATCGACCATATAAATCCTAGGACATATGCTAATTGATGTTAAACAAAGTTTAAAAAGACGATGAACACTTCGACAGAGTTCATGATAAAATAACTTATTTAAAGTGTAAACAGAATTGAACACGAAGGAGTAAAATCTAAGTACTGGTAAACGGTGAAGACAATAACTTGCATAAAGAAAGGATAAATTCTTAATGAAAAATATTTATTAAATTACATGGAAATGTAAAAATGGTGTTACATTAACGTACATTCTTACAAACTCATTTCTCTATACACGGGTACTTGGAGTATACTGAAGAATTTGTACACAATTGAACACACACAAATCCTAACACCAAGACTTTCTATTTATGCTAATCGAAAATAACTTATATTAACGGCTAGCAAACAAAATCGAGACAAGTGTCGCTTTGCATGCCTTCGATTCCTAGAAACTTTCCACGTGTCTTCCTTGAGAAATGGATAAGAACGAACTTTCCCTCCTTTATTTGAATTCAAATCTTCCTGTCAAAATGCCTTCAGTAGCACCTCTGTTGAATCAAATCTTCCAACTGCTAAAAACTATTTATAAGTCTGTAGGATAGCTTCTCTTGGCAGAAGGACACCTTTGACTCACATTTCAAAAATATAGATCCAATCGAAGTATTCAGATTTCTTCAGAAACTCTATTACTCTCTTCTAAACCAATTCAGGCATCGAAATTTGAAGCAAACACCACCGTCGAATGTTTATGCTCCTTATGTTCGTTCAAGTCCTTAGAATACAAGGCTGCTTGAACTTCTTCAAAGCTCAGGGACTCCCTTCCATACAAGAGTGTTTTTTTTAAGAGAGCATGTGTTCTGAGAAAAGCACACAATAACAACAGTGTTTGATCTTCATCATCGATCTTCACATCAATATTTTCAAGATCAAGAATCAACTTATTGAACATATCCAACTGCTCAGCTAATACTTTGTTTTCACTCATCTTGAATGAATACAAAGCTTGCTTCAGGTAGAGTCGATTCACCAGAGATTTGGTCATGTACAAACTTTCAAGTTTCATTCATAACCCCGATGTTGTAGTCTCCTTTGATACCTGTCGAAAAACCTTATCACCAAGGTTCAACAATATTGCGTTGTTGGTTTTCTCAATCATGGTCGTCTTTTCTTTTTCCGTTAACGCAACGTCCATGGTTGCCTCTCCCTTCAACGCTTCCAAACAACCCTGCTGAACCAGTAGGGCTTTCATCTTCAGGCGCCACAAACTGAAGTCGTTCACTCTGGTGAACTTTTCAATCTCACACTTTGTTGAAGACATCTTCTCCACGCTCACCGCACCAATTTGCTGTGAATAGAATACCTTGAAACAAAATATAAACAGTTTCTTTATATTCAAGAAACACACAAGGGTTAGGATTAACAAAGAAAGCAAGCAAGAAGAACAAGAAGAAACATCAAGGATTGATTATAAACTGTTATTCTTTCCTTTATCTATCAAACAAGATTACAAGTATACAAGAATAACAAATAACCTCTCTCTTGAATTAAGATTTTATCTTCCTATGTTTTCTTATGCAAGTTGAGAGACTAGCATGCTATTTATAAGAAAACTAACACACTAACCTAATGGACTTTTTAACAATTACCCATTACAATCTAACTCAAGGTACAAGCTAACTTAAACAATTGGGCTTACAAGCAAGGTCCAATTCAACATGCTAACAAATCTAGTAATATTGACTAATGCATGTTAGAATAAACTTCGACTACAACACGCATTACTCGCGAACAGACTTCGACCATTCTAGAGTTCGATCCAATATCTCATAGAAACATTGTATTTTTTTTTAAGGAAATACAGAAAAACAAGTTTAAAGTAAATAACTTCAAGTTAAATGACTGAATCTTAAATGTCAAAAACTAGATTTAAAGTAAATTGCAATAAAGATGAATAGTAGAAAGAATTTTACATAATCTGGTAAAAATATAAAGTATGATGTTCATACGTACATTTTCACTCAAGAATACTCTTTTTTGACACACAGGTACTTAGAGGAAATTTAGAGTTTTTGTACGAATTGAACATCCTGAATCTTAGCTGCTAAGACTCTTATTTATACTAAATCGAAAATAACCGTCATCTAACGGTCGTTTCAGCAGAAAGCATCACGTTTCCAATCTGCATGCATTCCGCCGCTTCAAAGCTCTCCACGTGTCTTGAGAAACGAATAAGACCAAAAAATAGTTATCAGCCTTAAATTTGAATTATATTTGTTGAACACTTCTTCAGGTAAGCTTCGTCGAAATTCAGTCTAGGCTAAAATATTTCCAAGTCCTAGACCATAACGTACTTCATGCAAAGGTCTCTTCGACTAGAACTTCAGTATTTTCCTGTCGAAAAATAATATAGCCTCTCTTAGAATAATTCTTCAAACTCCCATAACACACTTCAAATTTTCACATACGTCGAAACGTCCTTATAACTGTTTGGTGTCGAAATCATCATATACTCTTCTTCAAAATATACCTTTAAATCCTATGACTTACTTCTAACATTAATGAGTGTCAAAATTTTAACCAACACTAATGAACTAAAGGAGTTATGGAGATACATCTTCGAATCAGCCTTTCGTGCATACGAAGATGCATCTCCGAATCAGCCTTTCGCGCATATGAAGATGCATCTCCAAATCAAATTTTAACAAAATAAATTTTTTTCACCATTTTTATCTTTGGTTTGTGTGAAAATGTGCATTCAGAGCTGTCTCTCGAGACACTAGAAATATTTTTATCTTTTTAAGATAGTGTGAAAGAAACCCTAAAAGTGAAAAGAACTAGGGGTGTGTAGAACCCAACCCAACCCGAAGATCCGTCCCAACCCAATGACTTCGGGTTAGTCTTTTTCCCGTCTCATGTAAAAAATGGAAAAACATGACTGTCCAAAAATGAACCCGGTATCAAGTGAGACGGGTTCGGGTTGACCCTCGGGTTACCCAACCCGTCCTAATATTATAAATGCACATGTTGTACTATTTATTTATTTAATTTATTAATATATTTAGATTATTCCAAATTAACAATAGACTTTTCCACTTTCCACCTTATAATTTAATATATGCACTAAGTAAATACTAAGTACACATCTTCCTACTTTTCAACTTTTACACTTTTCTAGTTCTCTTACATCATGTTTTTTATTTTACATCTTCTTACTATGTTTTAGGGAAAATAAAAAGGTGATGACATATATAGAATTATATCATGTTTTTTATTTTTAAAAATTGACTTTAGATGTATTCATTGTTTTTCGTTCATGCTAATGATTTTATTCATATTTCTTATTTAAATTATTTATTTAAAATACTATAATAAACTTAATAAGTCACTAAATTTTTTTTCTTCATATATTTCGGATCAACCCGATATCATCTTATATTAACCCGGTCTAAATTAATTTATATATTATCGGGTTTTTTACGGGTTTAGGTACGAGTTCGGATCATTAAAATAGTCCGATCAAAATTTAGGACAGAGTTAAGGTTAGTCATAACCCATTCTGACCCGTCCCTTGCTCACCCCTAAAAAGAACCATCCCGTTTGTTTTGTTAAGTGTACCTTTTTTTCGATATTCAAGCTTAGGCGAATACAAATCCTATTGAAAGTGAAACGATGCGTTTCGAATCACAGAGACCGAAACGAAGTCTTCCTTATTGCAGCTAGATACTATTACAGATTTCACTGTCCGCAAGCATCTCAGGCTGAGGTAAAAGCGCATCCAAATACTATTATTCTCCAGTTGATTGCATCTACGAACGAAAACATACTAGAGCTAAAGTTTCATTTTTTTCCTACTTTGTTCACGGTGAGCATCGCCACACTTTCTACTCTTTGATGAGGTGCATTTAAGATGTTTGTAAAATGTTCTGTGTGGATTGTCCTTTTTAGAAAAACCGTGCATGTTGGAAATTGTGTTATTGTATTGTTTTGATTGAGTTAGATGTTGGAGTAGTATATTAAAGTAGCTTTTTTGTTGTTCTAATTCATTGCTCAAGATGAGTTAATTAATGATTAATATTGCAATTGAAATGGCAGGGTTTTGCGTATAATCAATCACTGAATTGGATTTCATGAAAATCTCAGCAATTCTCTGCTGCAGGCACATACAACATAGCTGTGTGACTTCGTCTTCTTCACTACCATGGATATCTCCTCTTAACTTTACAAAACCTGCAGAACCTAAACTAGACCCACCTCCTGAAATCAGTGACTCTGAAACGAGGAAGAAGAAAAAATATATCACTCATGATGTTGCTATCAATTTGATCAAACGAGAGAAAGATCCGCAGCATGCCTTGAAAATATTTAACATGATATCAGAACAAAAGGGGTTTTATCACAACAATGCTACCTATGCATCGATTCTTCAAAAGCTTGCTCAGTTTAAGAAATTTCAAGCCGTTGAACGGGTTCTGCATCAAATGACCTATGAAACTTGTAAATTTCACGAGGGTATATTTATCAACCTTATGAAGCATTACTCAAAATGTTCTTTTCATGAAAAAGTGCTTGACACTTTTTTCTCTATTCAGACAATTGTTCGGGAAAAGCCCTCTCCCAAAGCTATCAGCTCTTGTCTCAATCTCTTGGTTGATTCGAACCGGGTTGATTTGGCGCGACAGTTACTCTTGCATGCCAAGAGGAGTTTAATTTATAAGCCAAATGTCTGCATTTTCAATATCTTGGTGAAGTACCATTGCAAAAAGGGGGATCTTGAATCTGCTTTTGAAATTGTTAAAGAAATGAGGAAGTCCAAGTATTCTTATCCTAACATTATTACCTACTCAACCCTGATGGATGGTCTCTGTCGAAACGGAAGACTTAAAGAAGCTTTTGATCTCTTTGAGGAAATGCTTTCGAAGGATCAGATTGTGCCTGATCCCCTTACTTACAATGTTTTGATTAATGGGTTTTGCCGTGGAGGGAAACCTGAACGCGCTAGAAATGTTATTGAATTTATGAAAAATAATGGATGCTGTCCTAATGTATTCAATTACTCTGCCCTAGTAGATGGATTATGTAAAGCAGGAAAACTAGAAGATGCAAAAGGGGTTTTGGCTGAGATGAAGAACTCTGGTTTGAAACCTGATACGGTTACCTACACTTCTTTGATAAATTTCTTCTGTAGGAATGGGCAAATTGATGAGGCTATAGAGTTGCTTAAAGAAATGAAGGAAAATGAATGCGAGGCTGATACTGTTACATTCAATGTGATACTTGGAGGATTTTGCAGAGAAGGTAGATTTGATGAGGCTTTGGATATGGTTGAGAAACTCCCACACCAAGGTGTCTATTTGAACAAAGGTAGTTACAGGATTGTGCTAAACTCCTTAACTCAAAAATGTGAGTTGAAGAAGGCAAATAAATTATTAGGGTTAATGCTAAGTAGAGGGTTTGTACCCCATTATGCTACCTCGAATGAATTATTGGTTCGTCTTTGTAAGGACGGGATGGCTGACGATGCTGCTATGACTCTATTTGCTTTAGTGGATATGGGGTTCCAGCCACAACTTGATTCTTGGGAGCTTTTAATCGAGTTAATCTGCAGAGACAGAAAGTTATTGTATGTTTTTGAGCTAATTGATGAATTGGTAACAGCTGCAAATTCTTGATGTCTGCATTGTAGAATGATGCTTTGCTTCTCAAGCAATTTCTGCTTGGAATCCTTCACTTGAGGCAAAGGATGATACAAAAGTGAATTCAGATAAACACCAATAGAATTGGTGAATCACACACAATGTGGTAGGCAATAGGCATTTTCTACCAACAATTCCAATAAAAGAATTTGATTTGATAAGGGCATTTAGTTATTCTTACTTATATTCAAGTGAGAGGAAATACATCACAAATTTTACTCCAATCTCCCATATGTATTGAAAAATCAGAGAAGCTTTGATATAACATTACAAGAAATTTAGAATGCTTTAGCTGCAGCTCCAAGAATAGCTTCATATGTCCTGCAAAGAAAGTCAGATATGAGTGATAAATAAAATTGAGGCCTTCAGCCCAAAAACCCAAAAAAAGCATGGAAGTGATCCAGAATGGCTTTCACTTGTTATACGAGATAACTCAGCGGGGATAGTCTAGTGGTGAAAGCTTGGGTCCTGAGAGTGTACTCATCTTAATGTTTCATGTTCGAATTCCACTAGGTGCAAACAATTCATGTGATGGGCTTAGTCCACAGAGTTTTTCTCTGGCTTTAAATGAGGTCCTCCAAGTGAACGGTGAGATTGATCCCTTTGGATTAGTTGATAGTAAGGTCGGATACTAAAATTTCACAAAAAAGAAAACTCACGTGGTACTCAATATCTGCCACATGAGATTGTTAAATGTATGTAACAAGCAAGAATAATATCGTATTTTGTTAGATATATCCGTTTGGATGTAACTTGTATTAATTTTCAGGACAGTTATATTAGTATTTTTTACTCTTTTTCTGTTTTGGAACTCTTGCACATATACATAGCTTCTGCTTTCATCAATGATACTGAAAGAATTTTTCTTTTTCTTCAAATAATAGTACTCCTCTTTAACAAGCTTCTTTAGCTCTCTTTCCACTCCATTCTCTATTCTTCATCTCTATATTTTTTTCTTTTCCATATTTGTCTACCTTTATTACTGAATGAAAGGGACTGTTACTTGTTTGCCTACACACGAATGAGAACTGCAACAGAGAAGCACACACAAAAAGGGCGGCAGCAAAACTTTAAACTTGTAAGACCCACCGCATGGGCAACTATGACATCTTACATATGTGAAATTTCTGTTAATTTGCCTTTGAGGAAACGTGCCTCACGTGAGAGGAATGTTTGGAGATTTTATCCTGACATCCCAATTTAATTTGACCGGACACTTCATATATTATTTGATCGGACACTTCACATATTTTTATAATGTTCATATTATCTTCTTTAAATTTTATTAAAAAATTCGGATAAAAAACCGGTAGAACAATTAAAATATTCAGTAGTGTATTTAAAAAATTCGGTAACACAAATATTTCAAAAATCTGAAATATTGTGAATTAGTGAAAAATTCAGTGATGTTAATTGAGTTTTGAATGAATGGTTAAGATTTTGCCGATAATTTTGTACGGTTGTGATTACATCATTATTTTATGTGATCCAGAATGAATCTAAAGTTGTATAAATAGGGGTCATGTGTGGTTAAGAAAAACATCTTACAATGTCTTAGTTTTTGTTTAAGGCAGAAGTGTACTTCAACGGGATAAAACCTCTTGTAGAGTTTCGGCTTTCGGAGGGCACCACATGTCTCGCCGTTTTGAGATCCAAGTTGAATGATATGTTGTTTGACACGGAGAACAAAAAGGTGAGTAAGATTGAGTTTCGTCCAGGCTAGATTGATACTGATGGAAAGATGAAATATGACCTTATTGAATTGAAGATCGGTGAAGATTTGATAGTTATGTGGAGAGCATATCACCATAGGCTAACTAAGGAGGCAATCGAGTTTGATGTGACAATTCTTAGATCTGTCGACAACATAATAAAGATGCTGAAATGTCTAGAATCATCTAGTAGTGTTTAGATTTTCTTATTTATCATTGTTTTGTTAAGCTACGTAATTGTTTGTCTAAGTTATGTAAGTTTTTGTCAAATGTTAAGTTATGTTCAACATGCATCAATGGAAGTGGAAAAATGTTATATAATAAACAATGTTGTGTAAATGTCTAAGTAATACTATGCATAATAAACAAATAATACAACAATGATAACACGATCTAAATAGGTCTCCCATGTGCTACGTGTGCTGCCTGCGATGGCAGACTATAAACCTCACCATCTGCGTTCACCAAATGCATGAGGTTATCCTTAATGGTTGCTATCATCTATAGATGTTGAGTGTCGTACCCACCATGTGAAGACGGTGGAGGAGGTGACACATCATTTGAAGGTAAGCCAACATCAGCATGACAAAGTCTAGCACGAGAAGATCCAACATGATAAGGTCCAACATCATCGAAGGTGAGAAAAACACAAGAGAAAGGGAAAAGAGTTGAATTATGTTAATTTTTTCTTTCTCTTTTAAATTCTTGGTCAGATTCTAAACATAAAGTATAGAATCTGAATCAATCAGAGGTAGGCAGCGGGTAAATAATGCAAGAAAGAAGAGACACGCACAAAGTTATCCTGATTCCTCTCACAACTTGAGAGTAATCCAATTCCTTTGTACTTACAAGAGATTTTTACTATAATCACACAAGATTATAATTTTCTCAAGCATACAAGCAAGAGACTTCCAATGCTCAAACACAAAGTAAGAGACTTATATGCTCAAACATACAAGCAAGAGACTTTCAATGCTCAAGTACACAAGTAAAAGACTTCTAATCTCAAGCACACAAGTAAGAGACTTCAAATTCTCAAATACTATATAAGCGACTTCTAACAATCTACCTAACAGATAAAAGATTATTTGGGATAAGACACTTGATATACAATCAAAGGCGTAGACAAAATACAATCCAAGAAGAACTCTTTAAGACTTAGAGGTTTCTAGAATATACAAAGGTAAGAAATTATAAGTTGAACTTATGCTTATGTTTTGATAGAGTAATTGCGTTTTAAATGTCAATGGTTCATTGGTTCTTTTTCTTCAAGTCTTCAGCTCCTTAAATAGAGAAGGAAAAGAGTCGTTGAAGATTCATCACAAGAGAGATTGAGATGTTTCTTCAAATGGTTAATGTCGTTGAAAGCTTGTTTGAAATTCTTTTGTTGCAAGATAAATTATCAGTTGCATCCTAGTTGGCTTTATAATAAAAAGAGCTTAGGTCTTCACATGATCAAAAGAAGACAAAGTAGACTCAGAGGTGGACGTTGACCTATCAGAGTCACCTTAGTCCTTGAGCATTGACTAATGTTTAGGTTCTGATCAGCAGATGTAGACTTCTTCAAAGTTTCGTCTTCAGAGGCTGACTTCTTCACACTCTGACCTTCAGACGTTGACTTCTTCAGAGTCTGGTATTTAGCTTGTGATCCATTAGATTTTGATCCTTAAGTTTCTCTTAAGATGTTCATAGTCAAAACCAGTACTTGGATTATTTATAAAGTTTTAGTCTATGGTCCTACACACTTGAATAAATATTAGAATACCTAATTATTCTTTAAATACTTTTGAAATTCTGGTATGCAGATCTCATATGTTCCAAGAACATTGATCTCTGCTTAACAAGGACGAGGACAGACCATGACCAATTTAAATTACTTTAAATTGTACCAATGTCATGACCAATGTCACGACGTCTGTTGTGACATCTGCAGACAGACAGACTATTTATCTAACCATTTAAATTGTGCAGAATTGTAAATGCTGAAAGATAAATAACACAATGAATTGTTTACCCAGTTCGGTGCAACGTCACCTACATTTGGGGACTACCAAGCCAGGAAGGAAATTCACTATTAGTAGAATTAATTCAGAGTCAAACAACCCGCTTGCACTCTTCACTTAATACCTACCCAATGACACTTCAGCCTAGAGACCACTAGACCTGAGTATACCTACTCAATCACCTCAGTGATATAAACCAATTCACAATTACAGTGGAGATATGAAGACACACTTCAAACACACCTTGATCTTGCTTCACAACTTTGATCAAGAGACACACACTCTTGCTTAATAGCTTTGAGTGACACAATGAACACAACAGTTCATACACACTAGTCCAATGCAATCATACAGCATATGATTGCTTGGCTCATAAGCATCCTAAGACATTAAACACACGTGAAGAACAGAACTTCTTCACTCACACATATGTCTATCCCAATGTATCAAGAGATACAAAGGATGACTTACAAAGTCACACACAAGGGGCTCTCAAACCCTAAACCTTAATTTTACACTCAAGTTTTTCTTGCTGTGAGTGCTTGATTTCCCTTGCTTCTGCTCCTCCTTAAATAGCAATGCAGACTGGGCTTGGGCTGGTCACAAGTAACAAACATTAGGTTTAACAAAGTAAAACTAATTCCACAATTCAAGGTGCTGTCAAATTAGGTCACAACTGCTTCATGTTATGCCCAGTCCTGACTAGAATCTCGCCTGAGATAACTAAGGAGGCATAACAGCTTTCCTGAAGTATAACCTGAGTTTCCTCTTGCAATATAACAGTAAACCTAAACACGCGCCCCTGATGTCATATAATATCCAGCATGACATCCAACACACTTTGTTCTTAGCTGGCCAAACTCCCCCTGCTGGACACTCCTATAGAATCTTCTTCACAACAGTAGAAACAAGCATATTATAGTTTCCTAAAAAGTCTCAAAGATCCTTTTTATGAACACCAATTAAATCTTCCCTTTGTTCCTAATGAATCTCTTTGGCCTGCACATACTGATGAGGTATATTCAAAGCATTTCTGTCAAGTGATATAAAAACAGCAGCACCTGCTGTACCAGACAACGATGTCATGACATTTAGTATGACATCAATGACAGCAGTTATGTCATCAATTCCTGCTAGCTCTTGCTGCACCAGACAGCGATGTCATGACATTGGTAATGACATCCTGTTTAAAACACCTGACAACAGTATTATCATCAGCTCCTGCTGCACCAGACAACGATGTCATGACATTGGTAATGAC